GGACTAACACATGTGGATTGTGTGCCAATAAACTGTTGCGGGGAAAAAACCACACCAAAAACCCCAACATTATGAATAAATAAATAAAACTTGAAGTTGGGAAGAAAAAAAAAGGGGAGTGAGCTACTCTGGGCAGAGAGGTGGGCAGGAGCTGGCTATGCAGCGCTTTGGAAGCTAAACTTTGGGGAATTCAAGGTATCTTCAAAGCAAAAGGGAGCCCTAGAACTGGAGACTGGTGAGGTTGTTAGAAACATTTCTCGGTCATCCTGGGAGGATCTGGCCGTCCTCCTTGGTAATGCCCTGGGCTCTGTCTGATGCTGGACTGGGCACCGCAGACTCTGGAAGAAGGTGACCACGCTGTGTCTGTCAAAAGCCATTAAGGGTGGAGATGGAGGGAGGGCACCTCTTTTCAGAGAGCTTCCCTGGAGGGCAAACCACACAGACATCAAGGGAATCTGAGCCGTCCCTGCCTCTTTGTTTCATAGGTAAGAGCTGTTTTGCTTTTGAATTTTCTATTAGCTGCTATCGCACAATCACCATTAACTCATGGCTTTAAGAAACATACATCTTACAGTTTTGGAATTTGGAAGGAATCCCAAACTAGTTTCGCTGGGTTCAAGGCAAGGGAACAGCAGGGCTGATTCCTGCTGGGGGCTTTAGAAAGGACCAGCTTGGTTGCCTTTTCCAGCTTCTTTAAGCTGCCTGCATTCCTTGGCTCTGGGCCCCATCCACCATGTTCAAAGCCAGCAGCATAGTCTCATCAAAGCTCTCTTTGATCTCTGCTTCCATCATCCCAGCTCTTCCTCCCATTGTGACCTTATTGGAAAGACCCTTTCCATAGAGCCCTCCCGATAATCCCACCTCAATATCCTTCATTTAATCACATCTACAGAGGCTTTTTGAGCAAATAACCAGCAAAGTTGAATTATATGGAGAAGAATGTGGCAACAGGATTGGAGGAAGGCTTACTAATAACTTGTAACGTGCAGATGACACAACCTTGCTTGCTGAAAGTCAGGAGGACTTGAAGCACTTGCTGGTGCAGATCAAGGATTGCAGCCTTTGGTATGGGTTACAGCTCAATGTAAAGGAAGCCAAATTCCTCACCACTGGACCAATAGGTAACATCTTGATAAATGGAGAAAAGATTGAAGTTGTCAAAGATTTCATTTTGCTTGGATCCACCATTAGTGTTCATGGAAGCAACAAGAGATGCAATGACGTGTCGCATTGGGTGAATCTGCTGCACCTCTTTAGCATTTTGAAAAGCAGGGAGGTTACTTTGAAGACGAAGGTACACCTGACCCAAGCCATGCTATCTTCCATTGCCTCATGTGCATGTCAAAGTTGGACATTGAATAAAGCAGACTGAACAAGAATTGATGCATTTGAATTGTGGTGCTAACAAGAATATTGACAGTACCATGGACTGCCAAAAGGCTCAACAAATCAGTCTTGGAAGAAGTGTAGCCAGAATGCTCCTGAGAGCAGCAGTGCTCAACCTGTAGGTCGAGACCCCTTCGGGGGTCGAACGACCCTTTCACAGGGGTCGCCTAAGACCACCGGAAAATACGTGTATTTCTGATGGTCTTAGGAACCGAGACATGGCTCCTCTATCAGTCTCCAGGTGGGACTGCCCACATTCAAACACGCCCACATCCGAGTACCCGGCTTGAAGACTGTTAACCTAAGCTACATCATGCTTCAAGACAACATTTCATTTATTTGTAATTAGAAATAAATATTTCACAATATCTAATTGCATATTGTTTTTGTGATGAATCACTAGGCTTTAATGCTGTACAATTTGTCACAATGACAATACATCCTGCAGATCAGATACTTACGTGACAATTCATCACAGTAGCAAAATGACAGTGACGAAGTAGCCACGACCATAATTTTATGGTTGGAGGCCGTCACAACATGAGGAACTGTCTTAGGAAGGTTGAGAACCACTGCCTTAGAGACGAGGACCGTGAGACGATGTCTTACGTATTTAGCCGTGTTGTCAGGAGAGAAGCTGGAGAAGGACATCACGTTTGGTCAGGTGGCGGTGCAGCCAAACGGAGGAAGACCCTGGAAGAACATGGATTGACAGTGGCTTCAACAATGGGCTCAAACCTAATACACTGATGGGACTCATGTAGGGCCGAGCACAGCAGTGCTTTGTTCTGTTGTCCATCACCAGGTTGCCATGGGAACTGACTCAATGGCACCTAACAACACCGCAGAGGTTCTTTGGCCATGTAAGGCAACATAGTCACAGGTTCTTGGGCTTAGGATGAGGACATCATTGGGTAGCCCTTAGCTGGCCTACCACCATTTGTACAAAGAGCCAGAAGTGCTGACTGGGAGTCTGGCAAAGAGGAGCTTCCGGGACAGCAAGGAAGATGTTAATGGCCTGGGGCTGAGTGGAGCAAGGAGAATGCACATAGGACATATTTCAGAGGAAGGACCGGGCCTTAGGGACTGTCTGGATTTGGGGACATGGGAAAATGAAACCCTGGGCTGGACTGAATAGTTAAGTGGGGCTGCTGGGCTGCCTTAAAAGGGCCCAGGGGAGGAGCACTCCGTGCAGAACCAGGACAAAGAGAGCAGGTGGGGTTATGTTGCATTTGAGATACCCCTGGGACATCCGGGAATCTAGACTCCGTGACTCCTGGGCTCTCCCTTAATCCTGGGTGTCCACGGGCTCATCTTCAGCCTTGATTTCTGGGCTGACCCTGAGTTCTCCGGTTTCAGTAAGAGTTTCGGGGTCATCTTGTTTTTTTTCTGAGGCCACCGTAGCATTGACATTTATTCCGCCACGACCATAAATGGGCACTTATCAGTCCTGCTGATCACTTAAATCATTGGAAGGTCAGGCCACTTGCACAAGGTCCCATAACTGGCAAGGGACAGAAGGGTTGCCGCGTTTTGTTTGTTGTTGTTGCTTTTGGCTTGCGACCGGTAAATTTCAAAGCAAAGTTTGTCAGGCGGTTTGATCGTTTCCAGGGCCTTGGGGATGTGAACGGGACAAGGAGCAGAAGACACGGGCACTCCTGTCACTTGGGAAAGCCTAGCCGTTCTGAGGGTCCCCAGGGGAACAAAAGAAATTGCTCTTAGGGAAGCCAGGTCCCATGGGGAGGCCCCAGACAAGATGGAAGGGCGTGTGAAGGTACTGGAAGAGACCAAACGGGTGCCTGCCCCTTGTAGTCCCCAGGAAGGGTCAGACCCTCACAGTCTAACCCTTTAAGTCTTGGTGGTCATGGCGATAGCCTCATTACCTGTGACAGAGGGGCCTCTTCGGACATCATGACCCCTTGGAATGACCAGGGTGACAGAGCGCCAGTGGAGACCACGGCTGAATTTCCCACCATCATGGCCGACAAGGGATTTTCAGCTCAATTGGTATCAATTTAAAGGAAATAAAGAAGGGAGATGTTTCACGCTATACATATTGTAGGTTTTACATTAGGGGTTTCCAGCATAGTGATCTCTGTGTTTATTTATCTTAGCCGCAGGTAAGCGATGGTTCAGCGCAGGCGAAAAGATCCCGCAATCGGCGACCATAAAAAAACCAGCAGAAGGAAAGCACACAACCGCCCAGTCGATCCCGGTTCGGTCGGGTGAAGTCCAAAGGCCCCCTTGGGCTCCTGAGGTGACATCTTTACCGGAGCAGGTACCCTCATCTTTCTCCTGCAGAACCGGGGATTTCAACTGCTGACCTTGGGGCTTGCCGTCCAGTGTGCAACCATAAAGCACCGTGAAGAATTCGCCCCAGAGAAGACCGTACAGGGTCTTACAGGTTTGCTGGGAGTCGGAGTGGCTATGGAAGGCACAAACTAAAGGCAGGCAGGGATTTCAGGGGCGTGCCTCGGGGGGCTATGTAGGTCTCTCACTTGGGTGGGGGGTCTCTCCGAGACCCGCAGTCTCAGGGGAGAAGCTGGGTGGGTGGGGCGCACGGGGCAAGCCTAGGGTGTCAAGAAGAGAAGCGGAAAATCGGCAGTGGCAAGCGCGACCCGTCCGCGGGGGCGCCCGGGGGTCTCGCGCCAACCCCGCCC